ACAACATAAGACTTTCCAATGATCTCCAGAAAATAATTTATTGATTCCAAATATAACAAAAAGTTCCAAATAATTTATTGATTCCAAATATAACAAAAAGTTCCAAGGCACCTTAATCCCAGATCAACCATAGTTGATCCATACATAGAAATCTTCATTTACACAGTTCCACTTCTCCTCCTATGAGTTGGGTTATTTACTTCAATCTAATAAAGAAATTCTCCGATTACGTTTTTCTATCAACATCATCGTTGTCCTATATTGTTCAGTATCAGTTTCCCGCTCCATCATCAAGCCAACTTCGGCTGGGAAATTCATATCTTAAAATCTCATAAAGAACTAAATATTCGACCGAAATTATCCAAATCTAAAACATATAAATGAAAACTCATCAAACATTTCAAGGATGAACAAATTAATCAAAATAAGGTCGAAGCGGAAGAAAAGATACATAACTTGAATGATCTAGAATCCAAATACATACATAATGAAAAGGAACCATACCATCCACTAGAACTCGGGCGATGATCAATCGATCTAGGTCGTCTATCTGATTCGCCTCCCCTCCGGATCTTCTCATAATCCCCCGACTTAGGTCGCGCATCCTCCCCGTATTGACTAGGTAACCCCATATGCCCTTGCTGGTGCTGCCTCTGAGCTTGCTCTCTACCCCGAAAAACCTCTGGCCCTGGCCTCTCCTCCTTCCCCATAAAACCTGGTCTCAGATGCGGCGGCACAAACCGAACCGGCTTATAAACCCCAACAACCGGAACAGCGTCCTTCCCCTTCTCGAGACTCAGAAGAGGAGACGAACCCACAACACTTGCCCCTGTTCGACCCTGCGGACGTAGAGATATATCGTCCTGACCGTTCTCGTAGCGATCTTGATCTGAGAGCTGAGGGTTTTGTTGACGATCCAAGAGCTGATCCGCGGCGGGGGATGCGGATACGGATGGAGACGGAGACGGAGATGGAGATGAAGAAGTTGAGAGCGACGGAGCGGCGGTAGCAATAGGTTTGGGTGTAGGTCGGGTCAAGACAAGCATACGGCCATGGGCGCGAGTAGTGGATATTTGATTCTTATAAAGACTATTGCTATTAAAAGAAGACTGCGAAGAATATGAACCAAAAGAAGAAGAAGAAGAAGAAGACGATGATGAGGGTTGCTGGGGATTGTTTCGATTGACGGGAGAGGAGGTGGGAAGGTTTTTATCAAGTATGTGATTGAAGTTAATGGAGGTGTACTTGTTAGCTCTTGCCATCCACCACAACCACCCAAGGTATCTGTTATTGTTTCTTGGTTCGGGGGGTTGAGGGAGAGACAGAAGGGTTTTGATGGATTACAGAGGAGGAAGAAGAAGATGGTGGTTTTTGTTTTGAATTGATTGGTGCTGTGAATCTTCCAGGTGGCGAAATTTCTAATCTTTTCGTGAATATAAAGCGAAAAAATGGCCAAAGTGAGGGACCCACAGTGACGCTGACAGATCTGAGGCCGAGCCGAAGAAATTTTGAAAAAATTTAAATGAATTCATAATTTTTTATTTCAAAAATTCAAAACATTTTATTTTTTTTTTACTTAAATAAATATTATTTGTTTAATTTTTAATTCTTTAAAAATTTATAATTTTTTATTTTAAAATAATATTAAAATTACTTAAAAATAAATATAATTTAAAAATAATAATTTAAAAATAAAGTCTTTAATTATATCATTATTGTTTAAGAATAAAATTTTTATCGAAACTATTCACGTAAATATTATTGAACTTGAGTTAATAGACGAACATTTTATGTCGTAAATAATCTTAGAGAGCGTGGTAAATAAAATAATTTAGACGTAAATACGGAAAAAGATGAGAATTTAGAGTGATTATATTATATAATTTAGAATTGTTATAGTTTGAAGTAAATAATAAATTTTTGGATATTAATAAAATTTTGTAATAAAATGCGCAAATTTAATAAAGGTTCTCATCTAGAAAAATCCGTTAGATTGATGTTTCTCTCTTTTCTATCAACTATTTGAATAATATTTTTATATTTTTTTTAAAAAAAATTTTCAATTTTTTTAACTGTAATATAATATATGTTTGTTATTGCATTAAACAAAAATTGAACTTCTGACCTCTAACTTTATAGAGGGAGAAAAATACTATCAGATCTTTAAATCAAATTTTTTTTTTTAATATCTTGTTTATCAAGTCAATGAATTATTATAAAGAATCAACTTAATGAGTTTCGTTGAAATGTTTGAAATTTAATGTTGATGTATCTTCTCTTAGCAAGTTAGTTTGATAGGATGGATGGAGTCTTGAGAGATTGGTTGAATTAGATAAGATGTATTTTTCCAAAAGTATGGAAGAAGCATATTTAATGCTATAGAACTTCATGTCATTAGCAATTTAAGTCATAAAGAATTTGGTGTCCAATCAAGAAATATAATTAAAAAAGACTGAAAATCACAGCAATTGCAATTGAAATCTTATAGATGACTCAATGAAGCATACTTTCACTCTTGAATATGCGAAAAATAAAGTAAAAAACCCAAATAAAAGAATCAGTAATGCGATCTGAGTGAATGAAATGCAGACTTAATAAGTCATGTAGGATTCTTTTGCTGATGGAAGATGTGAGAGATCGATTAGTATTGTAATAAGATCACATCTAGATGATGTTAATGAGCTTCATCTAAAGAATTCATTAGTTTTGAGTTCTAGAGTCAGAAGATGGGGTTTGGCGTTCTTGCCCCAGACAATAAGGGATGATGGCTCTGCTAAAACTCGAAACTATCTCCATATGCCCATCGAGCATAGATGAAGTAAGGGATGATCTATTTAAATTGCAGGTGTAAATAGGGGGGCAGATGCTTCTGCAGGTTAGGACTAAACAAAAAACTGATTACAAATGTGTTTTTCTGTTAATCCATCAAGAGTTTTGCTACTACTCTTTTTCTATTCCATCTCTTGCTAGAATCTTACAACATCATTATTCTAGCAGAGGAGTCAAACTTGTGTCTAGAATGATTGAGATCCTGTTCTAAAAGATAGATGGTCGAAATTTTGAAAGACATACAGTGATAATTATAAAAGTAGATCATGCAAAGACAAATACAAACCCGCTAGTGTTAGCAATAATAGTCCAGCTTCACCAAGGACATGTTTGTGTATATACGTATATTTATGTTAGTACATATATGCTAGGAGAGACACTAGGAAATCATGATAAAAGAAGTAAGAAAGGCTATTTCAAGAAGAAGTACATGGGAACAGTGGGTTTGGTTTTATATCTATAAAAAACCCTTTTCTTCTTATAGCCTGTCTGGATGGTTATGACTATATTCCCTGGTTCACCAATATAGAAGGAATTCCTAATACTTTCTATCCCTTTCTTTTCCTTTTCATTGTTGAGCAAAACGTTGTAGGAACCCTCATCCTCCGGAATGAACTCCTCCCTGTATAACACCTCCCATCCAACAACTGTCACATCCCAAATCATGGTCACCCCAACCTAGTTTACAATCATGTTTTTTTCCATTTTAGAATACAACCCATCAAGCCAAAACAAAAGATTAACATGAACAAGTAACAATTATATACATATATATGTTAAAAATATTGAAAGGCCATAACAAGTACCTCGGCGACAGGGATTTGAATGGAGCTAGTTGAGTTCTTCTTAACATTAAGCTCTAAGACTTTGTCTTCAGGGCAAAACTCATCATCATTCTCTCTTTTTAAACCACCATATTCAGCAGGAAGGTATTCCGGAGCAATAAACCTACAAAAGGAAATGCCAATTAATGATCACACAAGGGAAAATAGCCTTTATTATGAATAATAATATACCAACTGATCTTACTTTAGAAGGGTCTTAGTAACTTTGTTTGGTCTGGCAAATACAAACTTCTTCTTGGTTCTTTGACTCAAGAGCTTTGAGCTCAGAACATGAGACGCATAGTACCAAAAGGGTGCATTGACTATTATCTGCAAATCACAAGGAATAAGAAGCATACATCTATATATATATATATATACATATTTTATTAATAATATTAAGTTTCATGTTTACTTACATCTCTATAAATGAGCTCAGGATAATAATTTTGGAGCAACATCATGCATTTCTTGGTAACTAAACGGAGCTCTTTCATGGTGGAACCAGGCAAGTTCTTCAAATCCGTGATTTGAACTAAGGCATCGGTACCACCAGCTTTGAAGTTGAGTAGCCTGATACCTTTTTCCATGTAACGAACTCTCAATCTAAGGAACTGCTCGCAATTTTCTTGGGATCCAAACAATTCATTATAAAGATTCTTATCTTTCAAAGCAGCGTAAACATTGAAGTACAGAGGATGACCTTCATTGTCTCTGCTACCTATGCACACCAACTTTTCAACGTCTACCTCAGAAGTTTCTTCAAGAACCGAATCCACATTGTACTCCCTTCGCCATTTCAGCGTCTTCCGAAGCATCTCGAAGGCATCGTGAACTTTAAAACCCTTGGCCTTCAAGAATTTGGTAAGTACAATATCGGTACCTTCATGGCTTTTACTTGGCAATAAAGGTACACCCCATAAAGTAATCTCTCTGAGCTTCTCTCTAGCTTTTCTGTTTTCGCTTGCCGATAGAGCTATCTTAGGTTTCCCTAACAGGTAATTTCCAAGAATTGCGTCTTCAACCATGCATCTGAATTCCAACAGGGCTTTTTGCTTTTTCTGCTTCTTATCAATTTTGGCCAGCTTCGTCTCATCTTCTTTACACGTTGGTTGATTCTCATTTTGATCGTCATTGTCATCAGCGTTGCTAGTTTCCTTGGGCTTGTATTTTTTCCCTCTCTGGCTTGCCATTGTTTGATTTTGAAGCTCTTCCGGTAACTCAGAATTCCAACACGAAGAGGGGATTGCTGGAAATCTGAATCTCGGGGAGGCTTCAATTCATTTGAGAAAGCAAAGAGTTGGTCAATATAGAGACAGATCAGAGTTAGGTGGCAATGGTAATGCGAGCTCCAGTCTCTCTGGAATCCACCCAACATCTCCCTTTCTCTCTCTCTCTCTCTCTCTCGTTACCGAGCCCGATTCGATTGAGTTGTTTATATACATACGCGTATGTGTATATATATATATATATGTATATATGTTAGTTTTTAGTTTAAAGTTTAAATTAATCCAAAAAAACTGGCATATGAAACTTCTTTTGAAAAAGTTTAACCACTATAAACTTACACATCCTGTTTTTTCATTAAAATTTGTTCAAAACTTAAAAAAACAAAAAACAAAAAAATCAACCAAACTGACTTTTAAAATTTACATATTCTTGAGGATGAAATAAAAAATATTAAATTAATAAAAAAAAATTTAAATGACTGAAATATAATATAATATAATAAAAAAATACCTATATCATGAATCAATATATATATGATTAATAACATTTTATATTTGTTAAATATTTATGATTATGTTCATACACACTTTCAATCATTTTCCCAACCAAGCAATTTTAAAAATACAAAATATTTGAGCAGATTTAAGAAATTTGGTCAGGTGGGTAACACTGGGAAGCCTTGAGAACTTATTACTATCTCCCGTTTCTATTTCAAGTTACCAATTGCGCTTTTAGTGTCACAAATCTATGGCGCTCAAAATTGTGGTTGAAGACATTTTTGTATGTAATGAGTAAAGTATATAAATGTGAATTTAGGAATTAGCAGCTACTTCTGTTCTCAAATCTCTCCCCTTCATTCCCACCGCCCAGAGCCAGTAACCGAAGCTTTCGTGTCTTTTAGCTTTGCTCATCGAAAAGTCATGGCCTTGCATGTTTGCAGACACCTAGCTTCAAGTTCTTCGCTGTCACTGATGGCACCTCCACAACCATGTTGAATGGAGAAATAGCATTTGGTCCAACAGAGATCAGACTCAATGGTTCTTACAATGTCACAGATCTTCTCACCTCCCTATCTCTACACGGTTTGCACAATGCAGTAAGATGCTAGAACACATATGTATACATACATGTATATATATATATAGCTTAAAAAGCTGTTGAGAAAACATGGAATCTGATAGATGGCGTATGTCCGCTGAACTTGTTTTGCAGTTCATTAGAACTTGTTAATAGTGGATCTTATTGTTCCTGAAGACAATCATTCATGTCAGATGAGGTATACAGAGATCAAATCCGTTTTGTGTTCTTATAACTTTAAATTTTGACCAACATGTTTTTTAACAATGCAAGAAACTAAATGGCTAGTTTATCCATTTCCCTGTCACTTTTTTGCATTGATTAATTTCCCATGTTTCTCTATCTAATCTATAAAATTTAGTACAAGCTTTTAGGAAAAGGATAGCCCCAGACTTTCCAATATACTTCCAATATACTCCAAGTCAAATATATAAAAATCTCTCCAATTTGTTCACATACATAGCACATCCCTGAACGAGCATAAAGAATCCAACATCAAGCCACCACCCTATGCCTATTTTTATGTGAACATATTTACAATGAGTATATACAGAAATAATAGCTAATCGTTACCACATGCAGTTGGATCACCATGACTCCCGATATCGAGTCAGGTCAAATGTCAGAGTTCTTGAGCAGCTGCAGATAGTAGAGAGAACCATTTTGATGTCAGATGACTAAACACCTCAGTTTCAATTGTCTGGTAGTGGAAAAGAAAATAGGTAGAAACACTCACCTTCTTTCTGAATCCCTGTAAACCCCAACCAATGCCTCAGCTTTATCATAAAAGCTGTCCTTCAGTGATATTACAATACTTTGAAAGCCATTACTGCCATCAGCATCCTGACTACTCCTGGCTCCACTGCATGACTTGCCACGGATGAATCCAGCTACTTTAGCAACATTTAGATTATCCAATGCAGCATCAACTTCATCCAATATAAAAAATGGCGATGGTCTATAGCTGAACCATTTATAATTTTTTTCCAAAAAAAAAAAAGAACTGTCAGACCACAAGCTCAAGAGCAACCTAAGATGCTTATCTTGGGATATCCATAAACGTTCCATAACAACCTAGGTACAGAAGAATTAAAGCAAAAAAAGAAGTTGGCAATTGAAGGGAGCAAGAAAGGGAAACATGTCTCAGCTCTGTATATGCCATAAAGTATTAATAACACAATGCCAACTTAACATGTTAGGAAAATAGCTGATAGATGTCACAATGTTTGTCAAAGTTCATGCCTTGCAAATAAAAGAAAATGCCATAGGGATACCTGTGAATGGAAAAGAGTAATGCAAGTGCTGCAACAGTCTTTTCTCCACCAGATAACTGCTCCATATCACGAAAACGCTTCGTTGGTGGCATGGCTGTAAACTTGATGCCATGTAGAAATGGATCATCCTCATTTTCCAAGTTCAGATATGCCGTTCCACCCAAAGGATGTGTATTGCTCTTTGTTAATTGTTTGTAGATTTTGTCGATGTTACTAGAAATATGGTTGAAAGCTTCCATAAATAAATCATACCTGCAAACAAAAGTGAAGTCAGTCAATATCCAAAAAAGAAAACAAAAAATACAGCTTTCGTACTGAAGGAAAAGAAATCAATTAAATTTATTAGTTTACCCCATCCATCCCCTCATCCACGGCTAAAAAGAAGCTAGCTGATTAAATTGTAAAGTTAAAACAGAAACAAATAATATTCCTAGCATAATAGTCACTCTTTTCATTTTATTCAACCCAGCCAAACTTTGTTACTATCTTAACTAATAAGAGATTGCAGGTTATTATAAGAGAGGCCAGTTGCAGTCCTATAATTAATAGCACCTCTTCTGTTTGACTGTGTTAAACGCATCTGCAGCTAGCTTATCCTCTTTCCTGGCTTTTTCAAACTCTTCAGTAACAACTCGTTCCTTTTCTAGTAAAGCCTCGTATTGATCAAGTGCCTTTAGATTAGGAGCCGTTTTTTCAATTTCTGATACTAAAGCATCCATTTTTTGCTTAAAATCCATCTCAATCTTTTCACGATCAGATGATCTCCGTTCCTGTAGGAGAGATCTGTTCAACTGACTAAAGTCGAAGAATGGGCCTCCGGCAGAATTGTCGATCTCCATTGAATCTGATATAATAGGAAGGTTAATGTGCTCCAAATCACATTTCTCCAATATTTCCTGTTTCTGTGTTATCAGCTGCTCAATTTGTGTCTCCTATAGAATCAGATATAAGATGTTAATAACAATGCTTTATCATAATTGTCATGTTCAATAATAAGCATGAAGGCAGATAAATAGGGGAATATGACATAAAAATTTGACACCTTAGAATGTATTAGTCGATTAAGCTTTGATATGCTTGTTGCCGCTTGAGAAGCCTGCCTCTTCCATTCCTGGATTTTCTTCTCACACTCTTCTGATTTCAACTTCCATGCTGGAAAAATGCAAAAAGGGGGGTGATGACTAAAAACCAGTTGAGGGAAATATAAGGGAAGTTGTCATAGTCAATAACTTAACAGTAGAAAGGCATGGTGGGTTGGTTTTCGCTCAGGTTTCTATTTAAAAGGTATTTGGGAAGAAGACAAGACAGGAAACTTGAGTTATCCAAAGTGTTATTTAGGAACAAAATAAAACAGAAATTTGAGTTATTTAGGAATAAAATAAAATAGAAAATTGGGCCATAATAGAAATCAGTCAAATCCTGCAACATTGGGAAACTAGTATCAATATTCCCCCCTATACATGCAACCTATCTCATTAATAAAATTATGAATGAAGAATTTATCAAAAATAAAAAAGAAATTTTAGAGTACCTAACTCGAGAGATGGTTCTCTGTATGACCTTTAAACCCTAATTCTACTTATTTCAACATAACCATGACTAGATCTGAATCCTAAGACCATGACAGAAGTCTCCATAGGTTGAGGTCAACATCATGTGACACCTTTTCCTGTATAACATTCCATGTTTTTCTAGTATGTTACCATTCATGAAGAGAAGGAAAAAGAAAGCACGTCTTAAAGATAATACAGAATCAAACTAAAATACCAATAGTTAACAATAGACGAGCCATAATTTTTTTTTCCCGATAGAAAAAGAAGATTATATTAAGATTAGGTAAAGAAAATACAGCAAAGCAGAATGAGAGACAAACCATAATTAAAATAGATATAAGAACAATTTGCCAAACAACTAAACTTCCAATAGAAACGTGGAACCAATTATACCTTGCATTTCCTCCTTCCATTGATTGATCTCACCAGTAGCTTCTTCTGTTGCTGACTTGATGTCAACCTCCTTCTTCTGCACCTGTCGTAAGTCATTCTCCAAAGAACTTAGAGAGGTTTCCAGCTTCTTAATTCGTGACTCCACATCCCGTTTCTGTTCATACTCCAACCTAGAATTTAAAAATAAAATGAAAAAGTCATGGGACCATGTAATTAAAGTAAATTGCTAGGTAACTGAAGAAATACGCCATAAGAATCCTTCATCAGGTTATATATAGAGAGATGTAAGAACTTTAATGTATATGTAAAAAAGAAAACTTCGCTAGCTTCTCGTTTGGTGCACCTTTATAGACTTCCCAATGGATATTAATTTCCCATTGTGTCTTTTTTGAGTTGTAATGACAGTCATATTTCCTGGAATCTCTTTCTTCTTCGAGATCTTTAAATTTGATATCTTCGATATCTCCTTTGAGATCTTTCTACCATTCCTCAAACCTTGATTACAGAATATGGTGCCTCTACACCTCCACACGTATACATGTAGATCTTGCTTTTATCAACTTGCCCATACACATACTAAACATAACTTAACTTTTCCTTCACCTCTCTAGATAATAACAATTCTCTAAGGTGAGAGCTTTCACTCAGATTGCATTTCAATCAGGATTAACAGCTATGACTTGCTTAAGACCTGAAACTTCAAAAGCTCACTCCTTAGAGGGACACTAGCCACCTTCCAACCCAAAACGTAAGCTAAGTCTGCCATGTCTAGCCCCTTCCCTAGAGGCACCAATTAGAGAAAGGTGGGAGCCAGTGGTGGCCAGATTTGGTTGGAAGAGGGATATTTCATCTAAAGGGGGCAGGTTCACTCTCATCAAAATTACTGTCTAACCTGCCTATACACTATCTTTCCCTCTTCCCAATCCCAGTTAGGGTGGCAAAAAATGCTGGAGGCATTGCAATGCTGATTCCCAGAACATAACCTCACTATCCTTATTGGAAGAGAAGTCTAACAAGCTCTTACAGAACATACTAGCATTTTGGGTTTGCTTTCTGAGAAAAGGATCTTCTTTAAGGAGGTAGAGTCCAGAACATATCCAAGCATTGGTAATTTTCTTCTCTGTTCCTTAAATTGATACATGAACGGAAAGAATTTAGCTTCCCAGTTGCAGCAAGCATTGGTAATTTTCTTCTCTGTTCCTTAAATTGATACATGAACGGAAAGAATTTAGCTTCCCAGTTGCAGTTACTGGTCAATTTACTAATAGAGAGGAGATTGCAACCCAAATTGAGAACATATGAAACCAAATTTAGAGTCAAATCTTTAGTAATTCTCACTATCTACGAGCTTAAAACCTTGGAGAGGGAACCATCAGCAATTCTAACATTGTAGTTTTCCTTGTTGGGACTGTATTAATGGATTAGTTTAACATTTTCAGTCATATGATCTGAAGCAACAGAGTCCTCCAAGTGTGAGATTTTGTATTAGCAAACAAGATAGTGAGATTGTTACCTTTCTGGGTTATCAATCCAATTCCCAGAGAGGGAGCATGGAACTGATGGAGTGTTCTGGTTGAGGAGTTTCTAGAGTGCCTCTAGCTGCTCTTAACTGAAGGGACTTTGTTTAGAGGATAGTTTTTTTCTTGTGGAAGCAGCATAGGCCGCGGTTGTCTTTATCGCTGAGTGTATGCTTCCAATCAATGGGTTCACCGTGAATCTTCCAACAGTTTTCCCTTAAGCGTCCTAGTTTTTTCCAGCAATGACACCAAGAATGACTTCCTTCTTTCGGTTTTCATTGGCATGATTTAAGCGGGATGCTCGGGTCATCAAGGCTGATCCCTCCAACTCGAAGTTTGGGTCTTGAGTTCCATCATTACCTTTTTCCTGCTCTCTTCTTGACTAACTTTGGAGACTGTTTCACTAATACTCGGAAGAGGCTTGGTTTCCATCACTCTTCCTCTCACCTCATTTAAGTTTTTGTTGAAACGGAATAAGAAATTAAGATCTTCTATTCTACTATTTTCTTGTACAAGTTTGTGTCTTCAGGACACTTCCAGGTGTGAGTCTCGAACATGTCCAGTTCTTACCACTACTGGGTGAGAGTGTCAAAGTATTAAGTAATAGTGAGGTCATCTTGATGTGAGTCATGTAGTCTGGCTTCCATTTCAAATAGTTATAAAGTATTTTCAGAAGTTGAGTAAGTTTCTTAGATAGCATCCCATATTTCCTTTACTGTCCCAAATAAGAGAAAATTTTCTCCTAGCTCATTGTTCATGTAGTTGATTAGCCATTATATGGCTGTGATTTTCGGTTTTTCAGACCCTGAAGTTGGAATGTTTTTGTCTGGGAATGTCACTTCGCCTGTAAGTTGCTCATCTTTTCCTTCTCCACAAATGTACATCATCATGGACTGAGACCACTGAAGGTAGAAGTTTGTGGTTAGTGACAAGGATAGATTGTCCTTCTAGTCCTCCATGAAAATTCCCGATCATTACTCTTTCAAGATTGGAGGTAACCTCAGATGAAGAGGTGGACTTGTCATACTTGGATATGAGATTTGGTTCGGTTTTCAGAGATGGCATTTTTTTACGGTGCGTTACTCTGGTACCATGTAAATTTTTAATATTATTTCTCAGAATTAATTTATTGTATTATGATAAAGAACAATGCAACAACATATAGGACTACACCAAGAAACCTAACTTTTTATCCTTAATACAGTAAGACAAGAACAGAATTTGGGAGGAAATTTTTGAGGATCTGATTATTGATAATCAAGAATCCCCATAATAGGAGTCCACCAAATCTAAGATTACATAGAATCTCACATCACTATCACTTCCTCACCTAGAATCCTACAAGATCGAATGGTAATGCTAGATAGTTCAGAAGAAAAACACAAAATGGGAGGAGAGAACATACTGGTATTTCAACTTTGCCAGCTGGTTACTCAAGTTAAGTCTTTCTTCAGCTGTCTCTTGGGCAGCCTTGAGCTGGTTTTCTTCATACTCGCGAATGTTTGTCACCCCCACAGACCGACTAAAATCTCTGTAGACACGGTCAACAATCTCATTTATCCTCTTCTCCAGCTTCCTGATATCAGTGTTCCTCTTATCAACAAATTCTCTTATCTGCAATTGCCATCAATAGCAATTAGAGCCAATTGATGATAAATATCAAAAGTTAGAACTACAGCCAAATGTGAAAAACAAGGAATAAAAGAAGCACAGAGAATCACCTTATAAAGTTCAGGATTTATGCGATCAATTTCTCCTTTAATATTCCTTTTCTCCTGATTCAAGTTCGCAAGTTTGTCCTCAATACTACGCTGCAACAATATTTATAGGTTACAATTTTATCAGAGGTGCACCATAAACAGGGAATAGCTAATAGTAAAATATCTGAATTAAAAAGATAATCAAACTATCTACTGTGTCCATCTTGTAAAAATTAAGAAAGAAAATCTGCAACAGACTGTGAAATCTGTTAATGTGTCTCTCCATTGCAAGGACATCAATACATCTTGGGCCTTGGCCCCAAAATCTGCTTTGTCCTCCGTCTTTTCTTCCAATCACCACCATGCTTTATCAATCATGCAACAATGTTACATTTTCTAACTACGCATCCTTGTCTAACCATAGATTATATCCATGAGTAGATAATATAATCCATTACTTGGTAGCCTAACTTGTCTGAATAAGTTTTCTTTCTTTAACATCTTGTCTAAAGTGATTTATTGTGGTTATATATCCATAAGCAAATAATATAATCCATCACTTGGTAGCCTAACTCGACTGAATAAGTTTTCTTTCTTTAACATCTTCTAAAGTGATTTATTGTGGTTATCTTACTGAAATTACTTGCCCAGACAAGCAGTTCAAACTCACTTTTGTTCCCAACAAAAAATTACTTCCAAAACATTTCTACAAAAACTAAAAATGGTCACATATTTCAGGAAGAAGATCATTTCACCTATCCTTTTCCCTTCATGAAGGATATAGCTAACAGAAAGTGCCAATATACAACCAGACAGGATAGGCATGAAATTGATCAGCCCCCCAGTGAAAGAAAGCATAACACACGCTAATTTACTGAACTTCCACTATCCATAAGAGAACAAAAATGGGGAAAAAAAACCAGAGCTCAAGTGAGCAAGGGCATGAAACCCGAATAAAAAAGGTTCTGACATATCCACATTTCAGTTTCAGAAAACCATAGAAGCTACACACACTGTAATAATTTCACCTTATAAAAGGCACAAGGATCAAAGAGAAGATTACCAATGTTAGCCACTTAATTCCACATTTAAGTTTCATAAATCCTGTGGGAAGAGTATGCATATTGAAATGATCTTATCCTGTAAGGTTAAAGAGGATGATCACCAATATTGCCAGTTAAATACCTTTTCAATCTCAGCATACTGAATCTTCTTTTCAAGTCCACTAATTTTCCCAGACATTTCAGATTCCTTAAGCTGCATCTCCCTAATTGATCCAAGCTTTTCCAGTTGTGCTTCATACTCTTCCTTCTTTTTCTTAAGCCCTATACAAAAGAAACAGTAAGCACTAAGGCAAAAACAGAAAGCCCTGAAACCATAAAGTACACAACCAACCCTCAATTTTTTTATCATCCCATTTGTTAGATTTTGCTTCCATCCCACCACTTGTACCACCGGTCATTGTGCCGGACTTTGTGAGTAGTATCCCATCAACAGTTACAACTAAGAAAAGCACATAAAACACTAGATTAGTTATAAACCAATATAGTGACAATGATGATTTATAAAGAAAAATTTACCTTTAAATCTTTCTCCACTCCAGCTAAGAACCTTGGCTTCATCAAGATCATCACATACTAGAGTGTTCCCGACAGCAAAAAGGATTGCCCTCTCCAAAGCAGGATCAAATGTGGAAAAGTTAAGGCCTAAGAGCATCAAGCATTTCCTTTCAAGTCATAGTTGGTTTTTTCTTTTTCCAACTTTTTGGGTTTGTGATACAAGTGAGCAAAAGCATCCATAAAGGTCACCATACTAAAATACTAAACGTTCATTTTGGTTTAAATTCTAGTCCATTTCCAGTTTAACTCCTGCTTCTAATATTAATGCTAGTTTTGACATGAATATAATTTATCTACTTGATTTCACCCCTAAACCCACCTTAAATTTTTTGAAGGAGTAACTAAATTCCTATTAATTAAAGTGGGAAATGAATTCTCACCTCTAGGCTATCTTTGAAAGAATAAACTTATGTTATGGAATTAGTTTAGCAATCGAACACGTATTTTAACAGTGGAATGATGCAAATTCTTTCAAAAATGCCTTCTAAGAAAATTCCAAGATTTTGAAGGA